CAAGACTACAAGCTCCCTGAATGCAGGAGCTACGCTTTACTTCCTTGTTTCCCTTCCCTGGTATAAAGTTCTTTACATGATTATTGCCAAAGAAGGAAGGGCTTTGACTCAGAAGAATTAGGTGTGAACTTCCCCAGTGAGCAGACCTGAAACGTCCCGTCCCGTAGATGGGATGGGGAGGGTGAGTGGTCTCAGGAAGGCAGGTGCGCTTTCTCACAAAAGCCCTAGAGGCGTCACCAGGGCTCCCATGACCCTCTGCTAACGTCAGCTCTGAATCTCAGACAATACAACTCAAAGCCCAGAAAGTCCTCCCAGCCCACGATGGCTGCCTTCTCCCAGGGCCGATGCTCTGCCAACGGCACACCACTGCCCAGCCCCAGTTCAAGTCCCCAACCCAGCATTAAGTCATATCCACTGAAAATCAGGCAAGAATCAGAGCCAACGTGCCTCTTGTTGGGTGGAAAACAGATGGCCGGACCAGAGAAAGCTGACGGAAGGAATCGCAAAACAAGTATCAATCAACCCAAGCAACTCGGCGTTAGCAAACAGGCAGCCTCGCAGCCTGGGCAGGGCTCTCTGGTGGTGTTTTTAGCGGCTTTCCTAATTAAGGATGAGCTGTGGAGCTCATCAGCCACCCTAAGTCCCTGCTAAATGTGGCAGGTGGCATCTGAGAGCCCCCTCCTACCATAACTCCCAGTTGTGCTTAGGAGGGCCATATCGTGCCAGCAAGGAGCTGTGAACAGACGCAGAGCAGAGGAAGAATTTAAAGGGCCATCACCCCCAAGCAGCGCCCTAATGGCCTTATAGGCTGCACCTCCAAGTTCTGTACTTGCGCTATTGAATGCTACTTGGCGTCCGGTGTGCATGTTGTTTCTCTTACTACATGTAAATTCTTGTAGGAGAAGGGTCACCTGTCATTCCTACAGCACTTAGCATCCTGTTAGAAATATTGACAAATGTTTCATTGACATGTGGCTGGCTCGATCCATTGAGTTTTATTTGTATTCCTAAATATTCCATATTCTAGTATAGCTTGTGTAGCTTACTGACCTGTGCCTTATCATCATCTGCTTTTAATGATTTGTGTGTATTTCTATTGTTTCTCCTATATCTATAAAGTCCTTCAGGGAGGTTCCAAGGACTTAAGTTCTACTCTAGACGCAGCTCTATCTCCCTAGTAGCGGAGCCAGGACTAAGAAAAAACCACAGGCTCCCCATTCCTGCTTGCTGACCTGGATGGTTTGGGGGCTGCATGTGGACATGGGACACACATGGAACCTTCCTCACTACTTGTTCCATCGCTGACCTGTGCCAGGTGCTACGTGAGAAAGCCATCCCCACTACAGTAGATGATAAGTCTTTGTGTTCCCCTTTTTTAAAAGATTTTTTTCTATTTATTTTGAGAGAGAGGAGAAGGGAGGGAGAAAGAGAGGGAAAGAAACAGCCATGTACAAGATGTGTGGGCGAAACATTGATCGTTTGCCTCCCACATGCCCAACCGGGGACCTGGCCCACAGCCCAGGCATGTGCTCTGCCCTGGAATCAAACCAGCGACCTTTAGGTTTGCAGGACAATGCCCAACCCACCGATCCATACCAGTCAGAGCGTTCCCATTTTGTGATAAGGAGTCAATGGTCCCCAGTCAAACTCAGACCAGTTCTTTAACTCACAGTACTGACTCTCAACACTTCGGCTTTCCATTGCGTGATCCTCACATGCTGATCAATTTTTTGCTATTAAACTAGATGAAGTCAGTAACATGTCCAGCAGAGTCTGGCACAGGGCAGATGCTCAACTTGTAGTCATGACTCTCTCATAAGATTTTTTTATTATAAACATTCAAAGACTTTTTATTCATCTTATTATAAGATTCCTACTTCTTTGGGGCCTTCCACTTAGGTGCCCCAGGCTGAAAAGGAAAAGATCAGAAAATAAAGATGCCTTTTAAAAATAGATGAAACATGGCTTTGACCTCACAGATTTCCTTCTGCGTGTTTGGACTGCAGACTATGAGCGTGATGAGGGTGGTGCTTGGGTCACAGATAGAGCCCAGTTTATTGTTTTTTAAGGTCATTCTGGCTGATTCACACTGTCATCGCTCTCTCTTGCAAAGCAGAGTGATACTGGCTTTGGGGCAGCAGGGAAAACCTTGACAAGCAGTGTGACAAATCCAAAGGGGGCAGGACTGGAGAGCAACAACCTTAAGGTGAAACATCATGTGTGCTCCGAGAAGGGGAGCCGAGAAGGGTACAGGAATCTGGGACTCCGTGAGCACAGGCCAGGGACAAGTCAAGACAGCCAATAAGTCCAGGAAATTCAAGCTCCAATTCTGTCAACCAGATGTCCTTCCCCTCAAAAAAGATGTGGTTCTAAGATAACGTTTGTGGGAACTGCTGGGTATCTTGCCTTTCTTACTGGAAGCAAGATCCAGGATGGACTCAGGAAAATTATGAGACCTTTGAGAAAGACCCACTCTACATGTGCTGACTCCATCTGGGTCAAGAGAGGGGACCTGCTGGGGGCGGGGGTCCCAGTGGAGCGCCTTCCTCCACACCATGTACAGCCTGATGGGTGTTCCCTTAGAGCCGCCGACGCTGCGGTCCCTCCTCTGTATCTCACCCAGACGATCTGCTGCTCATCTGCTTTGACTCCTAAGTTCCATGTCGCTCCGCCCTGAGAGCCCGCAGGTGGACAGGCTGTGTATAAAGGGGAAAACCTATAATATATATAAATAACGAGTACAGAGCAGATTTTGCAAGCATTTAGAAAAAGCTATGAAGGACGCACCCATAGAGAGTTATTAAAGTGAAGATAGGGCAGGTCCAGGCTGGATACACCTTAAGGCACATGGGCCCATGGTCTCGAGTCTGCTCCCCTCTGTGGTCCTCCAAGGCCATCTCACCTTCTCAGTGAGGAAGATACACCCGGCTGGGGCCAAGGCTGGGGGTGGGGGGAATTCTCAATAAGCCAGGGCTCAGGAATTTAGCAAGGAAAAAAAAAAATCAAAGCCATCCAAAGGCACTGGGTAAGACAGGGACGCGCTGAAAGGCCGATTGGGCCTGTGTTCTCTGCCTCCTGCCGACAGGTTTGCCTTCAAGTTAATTAAAAAGTCAAATTTGACTGTCATCCCAGTATCTGGTGAAGGGGCAAGCTGTTCATAAAACACCTTGCGTTTGCATAATACTTTTATGCTTTTCCAAGTACTTTATCATCTATTGGCTCATTTGAACTTCATGACAACTCTACAAAGTAGGCAGAGCGAGAACTGCTGGGGAGGCCGTAGCAGGTACAGAGCCAGACTGCCTGTGTTCCGTCCCCAGTCCTGCCCCCCGCCCCCCGCACACTGGCAACCTTGGGCAAGGGGTTAACCTCTCGGTGCTCCTACTTTCTCCTCTATAAAATGGGCACAACACAGTGCCTGCACCCTTGGTTTGTTGTAAGAAATAAGTGAGTTGATATGTATGAACAGTTAACAAATCTGGGATGTAGTAAAATTGGTCCTACTTTATAGGTCCATCCTGGGTGTATCAGGATGCCAGCCCTGCAAGCAGACATGAGGAGAATCATGCACCAGAAGCGCTCTGCGTGTCGCGAGGGCAGTACCGCTTCTCTGCCCTCCCAGAGGAATGGGTCTGCTGCAACCCCCTGGCCGGAATCTGCCCTTGGACATTCTGCACAGGATGAGCACATTACTGGGCCACACCAGGAAGCAAGTCATTAGCTGTGCTTTCCCCCAAAAGCCTTTGCATCCTCCCCTCCCACCAGGACAAGCCCAGCCCCCAGGAAAAGAGAGAGGAGCAGAAGCTCTCAGAGAGCACCTGCCTGGAGCCGGTGGGGTGGCTCTCCCACCCCCCAGAAAGATGTGCTAGAGCCTCGCAAACATTCTGAGAAGCAGGCCCATCCGCCAGGCCTTCCTGACAGCTAAAAATTCCCCAGCCCCAGAGCATGTCACAACCTGCCAAGGATCGGATTGCTGTTTACAGTCCAAGATGAAGAATGGGGTTGATAAGGAATAAGACAGCGGCAATCATACCCAGAGCTTCCTTTGAGGCAAGAGCCAGGGCTCCGAGGGGCCTGGGGGTTCAGGCTGGACCTTCTGTGAGTTGTCATAAGTCCCTGTCCCATTACTTTTTCAAAAAAGACACTGGTAGCGAAATGGTGCACAAACCAGCAATGCCAAATTTTAAGCAAACTGTCAGGCACACACAGAGAGAGGCATCCAGGCAGGCAGTGGACTGCACCCCTGCACTCTTGCACAGAACGCCCCTGGGAACAGACGAAGGGGTGGACAGGCTCTGGGCCCCCTCTCTGCCCCCGCAGCAGTGGTGTTGGTGCCTGTTCAGCATGCGAAGGCTCTGCATCAGGGTCTGCTGGGAAAGGAGATTCTCCAGCTACAAGCATAGACATCCATAAATAAAACGGTGACGCACCAACACAATCCACGGTGGCAGTGTCCTGCCCAGGAGGGCCCAGCTAGGAAGGCCATGCCACCTTCCCGACATTACTAGGATGCCTCCCACGGTTTTGCTATTGTTGTTACTTTACCACCAAGTGTATGTGCAGCAAGCACACTGGAGCAGCTGCCAGAAGGACTACAGGTTTTAGACCCAGTCCTTTAAGTCCTTTTAAGGTCCAGCAGGTGGCTGAGGAGGGGCAGGTGGGCAACAGGAGCTGACACTGCAGCAGCAGGTGCTGACTGTCAGGGACATGGGCCAGGCCCTGTGTGCTCTAAGTGCCCAGGGGAGAGAGGGACAGGGAGCTGGGTGACCCCCAGAGGCTTCCCAGAGGCAGTGGGGCTGGAGCAGAGCCTGCCAGACAGGAAGTCATTAGGAAAGCAGAGAATCAAGTGGAAAAGGGATGGCGGGAGCGGATGGTATCTAGGACAGAAGTTAAGGCCAAGAAGATCAAGTGTCTGGGGAGCAATGGGCAGAGGCCTGGAGCAGAAGGCTCCTCGTGGAGTGTGGAGGTGCGGGAGGGCAGGGGGAATCATTTTCAGTCCAGGGCTCGCTTCGGCAGCACATACACTAAAACTGGAACGCTATCGAGAGGATGAGCATGGTCCCTGCGCAAGGATGACACACGCAACATCACAAAGGGGCCCATATTTCCGAGACACTGCCTCCCACCTGCCAGAATGGCCATCATCAATAAATCAACGAACAACACATGCTGGCAAGGGTGTGGGGAACAGGGAGCCCTCGTGCACTGCTGGGGGGAATGGGGACTGGCACACCCCTGTGGGAAGCAGTGTGGAGTGCCTTCAAAACATTAGAATTGGAACCACCTTATAACTCCGCAGTTCCACCTGTGGGAATTTATCCAGAGAAACCCGAAACACGAACCGGAAAGAATACACGCACCCCTCTGTTCACAGCAGCACTATTTACAACAGCCAAGATCTAGAAACAGCTCATGTCCCCTTCAGTAGATGAGTAGATAAAAAAGCTGTGGTACATTTACACAATGGAATACTAATTAGCTGAAAAAAGAAGGAAATCTTACTTCTGTGACAGCGTGGATCCGCCTGGAGAATATTATGCTAAATGAAATAAGCCAGTCAAAGAAAGACAAATACTGTATGATCTCATTTGAATGTGGAATCTAACGAACAAAATAAACGGATGGACAAAATAGAAACAGAGGCGTGGACACATGCAACAGACTGACAGCCGTCAGAGGGGAGGGGAGTTGGGAGAGTAGATGAAAGAAGGTGAGGGGTTAGCCAAAGAACACACGTGCATAACAGAGACGCAGACGACGGTGTACGGTGTGGTGCTGGCCGGTGCTGGCCGGAGGCGAGGTGGGTGAGAGGACAGGTGGAGCGGGGCAAAGGCAGGGAAACAGGGATGGGGAGCGGCTCGGCTTGGGGCGACGGGCACGCGGTGCAGTGTGCAGACGCTGTTTTGCTGAGCTGTACACTTGAAACCTGTATGGTTTTGTGAACCAATGTCATTTCAATAAATTCAATAAAAATGATCATTTAAAATAACGAAATACACAAAAACTGTTGGTGATGTCTTATCCACAGGCCTATCCCAAGTGTTAATTGAAATAAGATGCATATTCATTGGAGTTATAATTTAGTTCATCTTTCCACTATTCCAAGTACAGAGCAATCATACTCTAAATAGCCGGTTGAATTTCATAGATAATAAAAGTCTTTTATTAAAAAAAAGAAAAGAGTCGTTTTCAGTCTATTCAGAGATTCACGTGGCCAAAGGGAACCCAAAAGCACAAAAGCAGGGCCGCTGTGACCTGAATGGGTGACAGAGGTTGGTCTGTGTCATTCCTCAGTTCCCCACTGACGTCCACCTGTGTGGAGAGACAAGACGGGTGGCGAAAAAGGGAGAGGGAAATAATCGGGGCTGAAAGCGAGCGCTTGCAGCGGGAGTCTCACTGACGACAAAGTTCCGTCTGTCACTTTCCATCCTCCAGTCCCAGTCCCCACCCCCAGACACAGCCCGAGGCAGAAACTGAAGGCAGAAGCCCAGAGCAGAGGAGAACAGATGGGGGTGTGGGCCGGGCCATCCATGGCCCCAGGAGCACACAGGCAGAGCGGGGGGAGGGAGGGGCCCCCCTGCGCTGAGTCGGGGGCCCCCTCCCCTTGCCCTGACCCAGGCCCTCGGAGGCGCTGGCCCTGCCAGCTGGCCGTTCTCATGGAGACACAGAGCCCAGTCAAACCATCACTGAACTGGCAAGTCAAGCAGAGAATGTCCTCAGCTCCCTTGGAGCCTGAGTCATGGAGACACTGGCCACGAGCAAGAATGTAGGAAGACACCCACAGAGACCGCTCACCTTACCCAGACGCAAAGCATCCGTGCCTGGCAAGAGCCCCGCCTTCCCTCTGCACGCCCCTGGCCCTGGTCACATGACCCGCCCCAGACAGGTGCCCGGTGTGAGAGGACGCCCACTGTCTGCCCCAGGCCTTGCACACACAGAAGCCCTCCCATCCTGCCCCCATAACCAGGCTTAACTTGGTGAAGACGAGGATAAGGGCAAAACACAGAAAGACACCAGTTAAGTTAGAATTGTGAGTAGACAACAAATGACATCTTTGGCGCGTCTTAAATATTGCAAGAGACGTGCTTATACTACACGGAGTATTCACTCCTTATCTGAAATTCAAGTTTAACTGGGAATCCTGTGTTTTTATTTGCTACATCTGGCAACCCTAGTAGAATGAGAGGAGGCAGTGAGGGGGTGGCAGTGCGGACGGAAGAGGGGGGAGTGGGCAGGCCGCAGTTCCCTTTGTGAACGTGAACAGAGGACTCAGCCAAGCACTTCAGTTAGTTGGTAAAATGTCATGGCCTCTGAGGCGGGCAAGGGTCTGGGCGCGTCCTCCTCACGCACACCTCTTCCCAAGGTGGTCCAGCGGGACCCCACACTGGAGCAGGAACTGCCAGAAAGGGTGATAATGCAGTGACCCCACCAGCTTCGCCTTGGTATATTTATTTGAATGCTGACCATATTGATATTTAAATCACTTAATACTCAAAACACTCTACAAAATGGTATTGTCATTTCCATTGTACAGAGGTGCGGAAAGGCAAGTGGTTTGCCCAATGTCACATAACTTTAAATGACAGCTCCAGACAGTCATCCAAGACAGCCCAGACCCCAAGCCTCCAGGGTCTCGACCGCCCCTTTCCCAGGAACCCGGTAGCAACCAGCTTCCTCCAGGGACCGCCCTCAGCGCTGTGTAACGGAACTTCCTCGGTGATGGACAGGCTCCACACCGCAGATCTCCAGCACAGCAGCCACCAGCCCCACACAGCAACTGAGCTCTTGAAGTGACAGTAGCTAATGGGACTGGAAATGGAAGTCTTCATTTAATTTTTTTTTTTTAATTTCTGTCCCTTGGGGCAGGTGGAGTCCCCCAGGCCTGGGTCTGGCATTTCCTGGGTGCGGCAATGATCCCAAGGAACACAAAAGGGCTGCTCAGAGGGACAGCAGCCCTTGGAAATCATCCTCATCCACCTTTCCCCTTCTGAGGTGGCGAATCGGAGGGTCGGAGAGGCCACGGGGGCCAGAAGCCTACTATTGTTTAAGTGACGCTGCTAGCCCTGGGCAGGGAAGCCAAGGACAGCAAAGGCTAACCTCTGAGGTCCCCAGCACAGGCTCGGCGGCCCCAGAAGCCCCCCAGGCAACCAGAGCCCCACCTCAGAACACCCACTGTTGTAAAAAGGGGTGTCAAAGAAGCTGCATCCCAGAATCCAGCAGAGATTGTCTATCTATCTGATTCATGCAGGAAATTTGAGAGGCAAAGGAAAAAAATGGCAACAATAGCACAAAACCTTGCTGAGTATGCTCCCCTACTCCCCGATTACCTTGGAATTATAATTACAGCGGTCCTTAATATCTACACACCCAAGTAATTATAGCAGGCGTACGGCTTCCCACTGCAATCGGATATTAACTTTTTATGGCGCCCTCTGAGAGCAGCCCGGAGAGACGACCACAGCATCAGGGAAGCAAGGAAGCCTGGGGGTGTCCTCAGAAGGTCAGTGGCCCCAGTGACCTCCCTCAGGGGCCACCCAGCCTGGTCAACTATCCCCTGCTCCCAACCCCCAGCCCGGGTGCTGAGGCCCCACCTCCACACCTTCCTGTTTCCATTCTGTTCTGCATGAGCCCGTCCAGCAGAGGGCCGAGGGGGCTGAAATGCAGCCGGGCTCACTTGCTAAGCCCCGCACCATAGAACGGTCTGTCTTTAATGTAGAAGCTCCAGTCCCCCCAGTGCACACACTCCCCAAGGTCTGGGTGCAGCCAGACTCTCGGCTCTCAGCTGGATGGGGAGCACACTGCTCTCTTGACAGCAACTGTGGCATAAAGGAAAGACCCACGCCCCAGTCCTGGTTTTGCCAATTGCGCGAGTGACCTTGGGCCAAGTCATTTTCCCTCTCCGAGGTTCAGTCTTAGTGATAAAGTGAGAAGGAGGAAAGCTGCTCTGCCTCCCTCACAGGGACGGTACACAAATCAGGTGAGATTGTGTCTTTGGAAATATTTCTGCTCTTCACATCCCGCTTGTCAGTCGGTCTTTGCTAAGTACTTGACCAGCTCTCACTGGCAGAGGACTTTCAGAGGCTGAGCTGCCCGTCCCTCTGGCTCGCCCACCTCGCCTGGGCTTTCCCAGGTGTCCCACACCGGCCCCCTGCACGCGCCTGCAGAACTGCCCTGAACCACCACTGCTGGGGAAAATATACATTTATATGTTAATTCTTCAGACTTTGAAAGCAGTTGAGCATACATTTTCTCATTTGAACTTCCAGTCGCTTGGTGATTTGTAGGGATGGCACTACCCTCACCGTACAGAAAAGCAAACAAACTCGGAGGAGTGAAATGAATGCTGGAATTGCGCTTACACATTTGAGCTTACACTTACGCAGGAGACGCAGCGGGGAGTGGCCTTCACCCGCCCCCGCCCAGTCCTGGGATCCACGGGATCTCAGGTCTGGTGGACACTCAGACATCGAATACTTGTTGAATAACAACAACAACAACAAAAGGGAACGAGTGGATAAATGGAGGAGCATCTCGCAGACCAGGGTTCAGGCAGCAGAGGGCCCGATGTCCTCGGAGACCCACTGACCGGGTCAAGGTGAGGCCCCGCTGCCAGTGCTGCCCACCCTTTCTTCTGACTGTCACCAAAACCATGGGTGGTCCCATTTGTTTCACAGATTGGAAAACACCCTCGGAGAGGCAAAGTGAACGGCTCATTTTGAACAGTGAATTAGCGGGGGAGGGGGGTTTAGATGCAGCCCCCCCTTCCAGGGACCAGGGCAGGCTTTGGGGCACCAACCGTGCAGCCTCAGCTCAGCGGCTCACTAAAGATTTCCCAGCTCCGGGTAAATACGTGGAGTTTCCATACGTCTGAGCAGGATGAGAATCGCCCAGCAAAAATGTTGTGGACTTCCCAACAGATCGTATGAAAATCTACCCATGGGGGGCCGATGGGGAAGGCAAGGTGTGAAGTAACCCCAAACCAGAACTTGGGTAATGTATTTTCCCTGGAGGACTTGGTACAGAGATAGTTTTAATTAACTGTGCATTTCATTTAAGCTTAGCAGGCAAGTTATTGTACGTTAAATAAATAGCAGTTGGTTATTAAGA